AGGCTCATTTTGCAGTCCTTCTTCCTATATTTGTAATCAGCGTTTGAAGCTCTATCGATATATCTGGGTCTCAATTCAAAAAACTGTGGGAATCGAAAGGGAATGCGTTCCCCAGTTAGTTTTTTCTTCAACTTTGATCAATTTATCGTAACATCTGCCACTGATTATACGCAAAATGCAAGCGCTCGTATTAGCACCCTCCTTGGAGTCCTTCTACAGTCGCAATTTTTACTGGTACGAAAAAAGGGAGAGGATGGTCTGGATAAAGGATAAAGCATTTGCCGTTGATCAATCCCGTTTTGGGATGCGGCACGCATTCTACTTCCATTTGTACATTCGCAGTGGCATTTGAATGCGATGTGGCCTATACAATGACTTGCGGGGGCCAGCCGATGTTCAAGTCAGTGTTTTTCCTCCTCCCAGACAAGTCTGGTACCAATTAACCGACCCCGGAGGGATGGAAGGCTTGGTTGGCCCGGGCGACTCACGACCCAGGATTTGATCCCGGACCGCTCGCGTGGTGAGCGCGCCACTTGTCACTGCACCACTTCCGCCCTTCTGGATACCTATTCAAAGTCTGAGTCTATTTTTCCCACTAATTGTGCCGTAAGCACTGCCTATTCCAATTTGGCAGCACGCGGTGGTTCTGTACAGTTCTCTCAGACTGCTGCCTTCAACAAGCAGTTTGACCTTAAACAGACCATCGTTAAAGAGCATTCCACCGCCTAAGGATGAAGGTCGAAAGAATGGTGAACTCTACTAGTGAGATATCAGGTCTACCTTCTAGGTGCAGACAATCACGATCGAATCTCGATCGGGCTAGTCTCTGGCAATCTGGCATGGCTTCTCTTCCATGCGGATGCAATTGGACCTGGAACCCCGACCGAGATATTGTGAACAGGGTGATTACGGGGGGGGGGGGGGGGGGGGGGGGGGGGGGGGGGGGGGTGGGGGGGGGGGGGGGGGGGGGGGGGGGGGGGGGGGGGGGGGGGGGGGGGGGGGGGGGGGGGGGGGGGGGGGGGGGGGGGGGGGGGGGGGGGGGGGGGGGGGGGGGGGGGGGGGGGGGGGGGGGGGGGGGGGGGGGGTGGGGGGGGGGGGGGGGGGGGGGGGGGGGGGGGGGGGGGGGGGGGGGGGGGGGGGGGGGGGGGGGGGGGGGGGGGGGGGGGGGGGGGGGGGGGGGGGGGGGGGGGGGGGGGGGGGGGGGGGGGGGGGGGGGGGGGGGGGGGGGGGGGGGGGGGGGGGGGGGGGGGGGGGGGGGGGGGGGGGGGGGGGGGGGGGGGGGGGGGGGGGGGGGGGGGGGGGGGGGGGGGGGGGGGGGGGGGGGGGGGGGGGGGGGGGGGGGGGGGGGGGGGGGGGGGGGGGGGGGGGGGGGGGGGGGGGGGGGGGGGGGGGGGGGGGGGGGGGGGGGGGGGGGGGGGGGGGGGGGGGGGGGGGGGGGGGGGGGGTGGGGGGGGGGGGGGGGGGGGGGGGGGGGGGGGGGGGGGGGGGGGGGGGGGGGGGGGGGGGGGGGGGGGGGGGGGGGGGGGGGGGGGGGGGGGGGGGGGGGGGGGGGGGGGGGGGGGGGGGGGGGGGGGGGGGGGGGGGGGGGGGGGGGGGGGGGGGGGGGGGGGGGGGGGGGGGGGGGGGGGGGGGGGGGGGGGGGGGGGGGGGGGGGGGGGGGGGGGGGGGGGGGGGGGGGGGGGGGGGGGGGGGGGGGGGGGGGGGGGGGGGGGGGGGGGGGGGGGGGGGGGGGGGGGGGGGGGGGGGGGGGGGGGGGGGGGGGGGGGGGGGGGGGGGGGGGGGGGGGGGGGGGGGGGGGGGGGGGGGGGGGGGGGGGGGGGGGGGGGGGGGGGGGGGGGGGGGGGGGGGGGGGGGGGGGGGGGGGGGGGGGGGGGGGGGGGGGGGGGGGGGGGGGGGGGGGGGGGGGGGGGGGGGGGGGGGGGGGGGGGGGGGGGGGGGGGGGGGGGGGGGGGGGGGGGGGGGGGGGGGGGGGGGGGGGGGGGGGGGGGGGGGGGGGGGGGGGGGGGGGGGGGGGGGGGGGGGGGGGGGGGGGGGGGGGGGGGGGGGGGGGGGGGGGGGGGGGGGGGGGGGGGGGGGGGGGGGGGGGGGGGGGGGGGGGGGGGGGGGGGGGGGGGGGGGGGGGGGGGGGGGGGGGGGGGGGGGGGGGGGGGGGGGGGGGGGGGGGGGGGGGGGGGGGGGGGGGGGGGGGGGGGGGGGGGGGGGGGGGGGGGGGGGGGGGGGGGGGGGGGGGGGGGGGGGGGGGGGGGGGGGGGGGGGGGGGGGGGGGGGGGGGGGGGGGGGGGGGGGGGGGGGGGGGGGGGGGGGGGGGGGGGGGGGGGGGGGGGGGGGGGGGGGGGGGGGGGGGGGGGGGGGGGGGGGGGGGGGGGGGGGGGGGGGGGGGGGGGGGGGGGGGGGGGGGGGGGGGGGGGGGGGGGGGGGGGGGGGGGGGGGGGGGGGGGGGGGGGGGGGGGGGGGGGGGGGGGGGGGGGGGGGGGGGGGGGGGGGGGGGGGGGGGGGGGGGGGGGGGGGGGGGGGGGGGGGGGGGGGGGGGGGGGGGGGGGGGGGGGGGGGGGGGGGGGGGGGGGGGGGGGGGGGGGGGGGGGGGGGGGGGGGGGGGGGGGGGGGGGGGGGGGGGGGGGGGGGGGGGGGGGGGGGTGGGGGGGGGGGGGGGGGGGGGGGGGGGGGGGGGGGGGGGGGGGGGGGGGGGGGGGGGGGGGGGGGGGGGGGGGGGGGGGGGGGGGGGGGGGGGGGGGGGGGGGGGGGGGGGGGGGGGGGGGGGGGGGGGGGGGGACAGTACATCAATGCAAAAAGTTAACGGGAAAGGAAGGGGTCCGATTCTTGAGGTCTAGGCCGTTTTTTGGTTTCTCCATCATCCCCTGACTGCCTCTACCCTTACTTCCGATAAGCTACCTTTTATTGTGAAATCTGCCCTTTCACTGTCCCCCATTGTAATTGATGCTCAGGATTTGCCGGTAAGAATGCTTGGGAGGAGGCACTTGTGGACTCCATCGCCAGTCAATACAAGGACTATTTGGAAGAAGTTCGACCATTCTTCAGAGTTGTCGTGGGATATGAAGATGGGCGCGAACCGCGTCCGACTTTTACATTCTCATCTAAAAATTCGGTTGATATTTGGTGGTAGGGCTGCTTTTGATATTTACTCTTGCATGCAACACGAAAGCGCGAGTTCTATTGCAGGAAGCCTTAGGCAAGGACGTGTTTCTACCAGCCAACAAAAAGTTTTTCGCTTTCATCACGAAATTTTTGAAAGATAACAAAAGTGGTGAGTCTTTTTAATTGCGAATTTGATCACTACAAGCGGACTATGCTATATCTAATTGTAAATACCACTTATGGGCCTATATGCCCCCATCAGGAGTCATTCTTGGAGAATCGTCTAAGTTTTGCACACCAGTGTATGATTGGGATCTGCAGCGAGCAAAATGAGCATTTTTGAGGGTGTATTCCTCCTACGACAACAATAACCGCATCATGGCCTCACTGATTAGTGTTCTCCTTATGACCGATGTCAGGCTATGCGAATCGAGGAATTCGCTATTAGCGATTTGCTAGCGTCCACGGTCGCGTCGCGGCCAGCGAATCGCTCGATTCGCAAAGTCTGACATTGGCCTATCTCGCTGCAGCATGAAAAAGCCTGCATCGCCTGTGAGGAACGCGATCCATGAGATGACGATGCTGCACCCAGCTCACAAGATCTGCTAGGACCATGCTGTTGATAATCCTACATTTGTTCATTGCTCACAAATCACAACAGTGGATGGGCGGTGAGCAGTGATTATGGAGATGTTACTATAAAACAAGCAGATCTAGGCCAGCATACTCATGCAAAATGTAGGAAAGCCACGAGAATCGTTGCCCCACCACAAAGAGTGACATAGAAAAGTTTTTGCGCTTATGCATATTTTTCAAAGATCTCCATGCTGGATCGGATTGCAGATAATTGGTGTACAAACGTTTGCATTTCTAGAAAGGGCGCTATCGCAAGATACGGGAAGAGCTTCTGAGATCAAACCTAGGATAGGGCAAGAACTTCGATGGCGGAAGTATGGCAAACTGCTCACGCGCCAAGGAGTTTCTTGTCCTTCGCCTTAGGCTTAGATTTTTAAAGCCAATAGTTAGGATTAGGCGGTCAAGAAGACCTCCCATCAACTGACTGTTGACCAGCGCTGCCGCGCAGAGGATGGTGGAATGCCTACTCAGATGCGCGGCGAAGCCTCTGCCGACTACTTACGGCGTATGAGGTTCGTTCATCACGCCGCGCCAATGCGGGAATGATCGTGGCCTGGGCCTAATGTGGAGCATCAGCTAGGGTTGATCTGCCCGTACCAACCGATGGTACGGCTGGCATCTCCGGAACACTCGTTTGGTCGTGCTCTCCTCCGAGCAAGCCTCCTTCACTGCTACTGGGAGCGGGGACTTCGTTTTCGGCCCTGTCGACTGTTTCTTTTCGTTTTTCAGCGTCTATCGTTCCACAGCGCTTCACACTCTAGGTGAGGTATATACGCGCGCTGAAACGGCGAATTTTTCTCCCATGCGCTCCCAACTCACCTAGCCTACTACTCGTGAAAACTCCACTTTCACCACAAACTCACATGTACTTTCACGCGACTGAAGCGGATACGACCCCCTCCTATAAACTCAACCAGGTACGACCCCCGTTGTTACTAGTAACAACGTAGGATTGACCCTGTTCCAAATGCATTGCCACCACAAGGCCCGCGTATGTGGCGATAGTGCCGCAAAAAGTCCATAGCGCTTGACAGATGGTTTTTTTCACAAAATTAGCTATTTATTTTTTATTTTTTCCTTTAGTTCTTTTTTACTTCTGCAAATTTCGGAATAAACCAGAATTCAGTCGACGTAAACCACTTCCATGCAATCTGTTCAGGATACCTCGTTGGAGACTCGCTGACTTGGGTGGATCTGCTGGTTGCCGAATCGGCTACGTTTACCGACAAGTTTCCTACACTTTACGATGGTTTTTCGGAGGTGATCACAATTTTTTAACAGGATCATTGTCTCAAAAACCAGCAATTTTCCTGAACAATTTTTTTCACTGTTGTGAGGGGAAGTGGTCAACTGCTCGATTGTCTTATAAAGCGGGAGGAGGGTGGGAAAGGCTGTATCACTAAAAAGTGGAAAATAGTGAAAACAGAACAAGGGTCTGCTCTACCAATGAGATGGTTCATCCTGAATGAATTTGATGATAAAGGGTATAAATGCTTTTACGATGCGACGATATAAATGCCTTCACTATTCGTAATTTGAACGGATGCTCCCTGGCGGCCTGCGATTTGTCAGGTACATACGATTGTATACATGAACATTGAGAAAGGACCTGGGAAAGGAACATGAAGCAAAGTATGTCGACTAGACTTCAAAATTCAATGTCATTCCTCCACTCTTGGATTTTGAGGCAGCAATTACGATCGTTTAGGAAGGGTTCAGAGGAGACGTGGTGGTGCTCAATGGTACGCCAGTGGCGAAAAAAGCGGAGAAATCCGTCAAAAAACGCAAAATGGGACCCCTTTTTTGGCCGTTGGTTTCACTCATGAACAGGTAACAGCTCAGAAAGCGGACGTATGAACGAGTTCACGCGTTTGGTGACACCATGCCAAACCACGCTCCAATCGAGTTGCTCCAGTTGTGCCGCTGCTGGCAACGCAGCTCGTCCAAATCACCAACTAAACTAGTGGGCGGATCGCTTTTGGGGGCGGAGTGCTTTCGAAGTCCTGCTCAGCAACCAGCGCACCTTTCGTCGTGAAAGCGCCACACCTCGCTTCCCTGGCAGCCAAGTAACTGATTCGTGTGGTGCATATGCTTCCCCGATGCGCTCCCTCTTATCGTAATCGCTGCCTTTAAATATCATATATCGCATATCATGTTTTTTTTCATAGTGCTAATCTGATCCCTCAGAATTTTAGGTGTGTTTTGTAATAGGCATCGAGCTAGAGTTCTGAAACATACTGTTATATGGGAAATCTTTATGTACATACTCTGTTTTAAGGTGAAAGCGCATGCAGAAAAAATACGCTCCATCCCGGAACTGAAGAAGTGGATCGAAACACGCCCAGCTTCAGATTACTGAGTACCTAATTTATCAGTGATTGTTGCTGTCCTCGTTAATGATCATCATGTCACTAATTTTGAAATGAATCTAGAGCATCAATTGGTTGCAATAAGCAATCTACACATTTATTATTCACCATGCCTTCATGGTAGTTCAAATAAAAGCGGTAGAATTTCATCTTTTAAAATCGGACTAGGCAATATATAAACTCGGGCGGAGTATCCGAGCGGTAATGAGTGGTACTTGCTGAACTCTTGGTAGTTCTAAATTGGCAGTTCCAATTGTAAGACAGCTCGCGCAACCCGCTGGATTATTATCCTTGCGTGATGATTTTCAAGGACCAGAAATATCCTTGGATTCTTGCGGAATCAGTAGAACAAAACCAGACCAAACACCTTCTTTCGTTTAACGTCAATCTTTTCGTATTAGTGTTTTTCTGCACTATACTGTGAAACATCCTCCGAAATAACATCTCCTGTGCTGATAAGTCAAACACGAAGCTTCTTTAATCTACAATTCCTGCCAGGTGGTGCGCCATGCCAGCTTTCGTACCCCAAATTCGCAGAGTCATTTGAAAGCTTGTACATGTTCCCATCTTCCATAGTAAGAAATTTGGGATTTCTGTTTTTTTTTTACTCTAAGGAGTGTCGTAGCGGGGAAGATGGTCTCGATTCTCTTCCAATCCTTCCAGTTCGTGGCTTTATTGGTTGCAAATAATTTCGTGAATGTTCTGAATGCCATTCTTCAAAAAAACAAAATAAATGATTTGTCGGTGTTAGCTGATTTTCGGCGCTTCTATCTAACGCATGAATAAATGAATTGACGAACTTCTTTAGCTAAAAAGATTGCTCTTCACTACCAGTCAGATTTCTTAGCATGGTGCTGTCCTGAAGCTTCAGGCAGGGTGAATAACGGTCGAGGAATTCCTCGACCATCGCTCTCTGCTGTGCGAGAGTAGAGCCGATAGTGAATGTACGCGCGGAGAGCACAGACGGCTCGCGGGTGGCGAGAGTGAATATCCGCGCGCGAGAACGTAAAGGATCAGGCGAAAATCCTCGACGTGCCGTTGAGGAATCCTCAAGCAATCACCCTGCCTTATGGGCATCTAAACATTAAACGACAGTGAGGTTCCGAAAATTTATTTCAAAACGCTTCAGAGTCAACTCGGATCGCTTTTCAAAGTTTCTATGGGCCAATCACTTTTGTCAGGCATGAAAAGCGTTTTTTAATAAAGTCGGACGTAATTTAAAATATAAAATTTAACAGTGGTAAACGCGTATGAGTTGGCTCAATATGTTTCGTGTGCTTCAGCAAAAATGCTACTTCAGGCCTGGCGATGGTGCTAAGCACCGAAATGGTATTTTGAAAAGCTTCTAGAATTAAAGGCACAACCCAGGCAGAGGTCGTGTGAACTCTTCTCTTCGGTCAGAAGTATAGAACCCTAGGGGACAATCACAAATGTGGCGTTCACGTGCACGGAATTCCAACCG